TTTGGACAGCTCTTTAACGATCTCTCAAATGAATGTAGCCATGTTTGGTTGGTTTAACTACACGGACGGGGTGGCAGGTTGTAACTGAGCCTGGTTTGACAGACAGGGTGACAGGGGGAGGTTGCAGTCCTGTTATATAACCGCATAATTTGATCTGTAATATCCTAGCTGGTAGGTCAGGATGTGTTGTTCAGGGGATCAAAACCTTGAAATAGATCAGAAATACATTAGAAATACCTTGAAATACCTTTCAGAAATACCTTGAAATACCTCGAAATAGTTATTAGAAGGAACACGGGAATCCCAACTGTGCACCCCTAAAACCGGTACAGTTCAGAACGATTTGATAAGGTATTGAGCGAAATGAAATGTTAAAAAATACTGAAAAGAAAACGAGGTAAAAATGCAGAACATTTAAATTTTCGATTTACCCTCGACATGAAATGATAGTTCACGAATTTTGACCGCAAGGGAATGTCAAAACTTCTTTTATATAACAAGTTTGGAACTGTACCTATAAGCAAGGCAGACAGAATTGAAAAAATGTTAAACTTTCATCACTGTCTAACGGAATCGAGAAATGTCACACAGTACTGAGTACAGACACACATCTGTAGCTGTCCCAGATATTACCAGATATCTGGTAGAAACTAGAAACGGTGAACCTGAAGTGGAAGTAGGAATGTTCGGTGCGTACTTCATACTTCATAAAGACATTTAAAGATATTGGTTAAAACGGTCATAATTATGGAAGAGAATCCAGTTTAATCTTTTAATGTTTCCACCGTTCAATCTACAGATTATTGTCTACCGTACGGCCTACTACAAAACTGTGTTACTGCCGTCAGCATCCTGTCTAGCTGTCGTCATAAGAAAGTTTTAAAATTTGACGGCAGTAAGTGTTTGATATCGACACACTGAGCTGTTTTTACTTTGAGAATGTGAAAATGTCAGTTTTTGAATCTTGAATTGTCGGGAACATCTAGAAAAAAATCTTTCCGCTCATTTAATCTAGTTGAAATCATATTTTGACGGTGAAATTCACCGTGTGAATAGGTTTTGAGGTTGTGAAAAAAGCCCGTTAGATTCGTTATGATATTCGCACCAACGGTAAAATAATTAGATACAATTTAAATAATCAGATGGTGGAGTTGATCACAATTAATTGATGGCGGAGATAAGATTATCATTATAATGATTTCTAGCTAATAGGGTAAAGCACATAATTTTGTCATTTTTTGGCAATTTTCCGACTGCCTGATATAAACCATGGGTTTTAACCTCGTCTGAAATTCCGATTTAGATGAAACCTCCACCATGTTATAGTAGACAGTCTAGGCAAGTTCTAACACAAAAATGATCGAAATTGCTGGGGTTGAAGATGTTCAAAAAAATTATTTTGAAAAAATGACAAAATTAGGTGACTTTACTTAATTTTGTCACCCCGAACCTAATTTTTTCACTTGAAGATTGTGCAAAAATTAACCGTTTCTCGGTATTTTAGACTACCTGGATGCATCATTCGAGCGCTTTTTTACCAACATTGACCTCAAAAATCCCAAAGATATGATGTTTTCATAGTTTTGTAGCTTGATGAAAAGATGACACTTTTTGGGTATCTAATCTTAGAAAATAGCCCCCAAATGCCCCTGAAACCACTGGCATCTTGAAAACTTTCTATGAAGCATGAATCAATATTGGTTACTGATTCACGAAACTATATTTACCAATAGCTCTTTAAAACCCAGAATTACAGTATATTTCTCGGCGAAAATATGCTATTATAAGTGTTTAAATGCTATTATAAGTGCCTTATACATATCCTATGGGCAAAAAAACTTCAGAATAGTTGTATAAGGCCATTTTCAACACAATCTGTGATTTACAAGAAATTTGAGAAAGGTCGATTTTTTTGACAAAATTAAGTACTTTTGGCAAAATCGAACCTAATTTTGTCACCCTCTGTAACTTGAACAATAATTGCGCTAGAGACTTGAAAATTTGTACGTATACTTCTGCTGTAGAAGATATTTGAAATATGCAATGGCATGAAGCTAGCTCAATTACTTTTGAAATAGCAATAAATCAAAATTTTGAAAATTCCTTAAGAAAACTTTAAGGATCTTATTTATTTTTCGGGTTAACAGTTTCGCCTTCATTTTTGACACAGATGCAAAAGAGCTAGAAACTTTGTAGGAGCAGTTTCAGCAAAGTCTAAGCTTTCTTTTTATACACAAACCTTTTCTTTCAAGCTGAAATTCCGAGCCGAGGCAGTTTTTCAGAGCAAAATGACAAAATTAGGTACCCTGACAAAATTACGTGCCTTACCCTATCAAAATTAATGTTTAATCCTAAGTCTTAGCATGTGACGTGTATATATTTAAATATCAATTTCAAATATAAAGTTTTGAGAATACTTAAGCATCGAGTTAAGGTAGAGCACATTCCCGAATAAAAAGGATACCTACCATTCAGTCCACCAGCGTTCTATAACTTTTTCTTCCCCGACAAAATCCCAGCAAATATTTCGTCAAAATACTTTTTATCACGAGATGACTCTCCCTGATACGTTATGATATAGTACAACAGGATGGGGTCTTCGTGATACCTATCTTTGTGATAACTTACATGCTAAATAAAAGCTGGTTAAATGTTTTGGTGATAAATTTACAAACATTTTCAACAAATCACCAGACTAACAAACAGTCCTACAAAATTAACGCAATTGTAAGTAAATTTTTGATAGCTTTAACACTGTCATAAAGCGAATGATATTTTAAAACATATCTATGTAATGATCTTATATCTTAGTGTTCACGAGGCTACAGCAAACATTATTTGATTTTATAGACCTAAATAGGTACCAGTTCTATATGTAAATCAATATCCCATCCTACCAAGTTAATTCCTAGAATGACATGATTTTTATTTCTCTGTAATTTCTCTGGTAATATTCAGAGTTACCTAGTTTTATCTTTAATTTAGCTGAAGCCATCAAACTTTCGTGACTAATAAACGAAGTTAAACTGTTACTAACCGAGCAGCAGAGTCCATAAATATAATGACATAATGGTATGAACTTCAGCTTTAACTCTAGCAACCAGCACCAGCAGTAAATGTCCAAATATGATTCCTTTTACAGCAGATACCTTAAATACGACATAAACCGTCAAAACGAGATATTATCATGCCTATTAATCCAGCACAAACCATAGTGACTTAAATACTTTACCAATAGATTTACCAGGGGGTGTTTACAGGAGAAAGAGAGGTCGAACAATAGTTAATACACAAAACAAGTAGTGACCAGGTGTATCAAATCCAGGGGGAATAGAGTCCATCACTTACTCGTAGCCACGACACCACCTGGCCTGGTATCACACACACACACACTCCGACACAGTGTGTGTTGTGGTGGTACATTGTGGCCCCTGGATAAATGCCTCAGTGATTACTGATTATGTCATTGTTCTGCGAATGTATTGGGTTATGGTTGAGTTGAAACATAGTCACTGTTTGGAAAGATCCTAAGTCTTTTATGTTGTGAGGCTCAGTGATTATGCAAGTTATAGTCTATTATGTGTCATAAGCTATTTATTTCGAACATATTGCACGACTTGATTGTTCTCATATTTAAAACATGAACTGTATGAGGATACGGAAAAAAATTGGTTTTGCCATTAGAATTTTGGTATCCCTTGAAATAATGTTAGTCCAAGTTAAAGTTTAAGGCCATGGGGGCCTTAAGGGAATACAGGTAGCTCGTATTAGTGTGGAAATGAAGACTTTATAGTAGGAAGTGTGATTTTCATTTGTGGAGCATAACATGAACAGCTTTAGAATTGGAAATCATTTTATTTTAGCATAATCTATGTTCATGGAGAAAATTGGCTAAAATCATCCAATTCTAATCCTACATAATAACCATCCACTGAACTAATTGCCCCAAAACTATCCCAAACTCTATAAACATCTACCACTCACACTATCCTGATGACACCACTTGACACTAAATCACCATCAGCTCTAAAACGATACTGTAAAAAGCACCCAGTAATAATCCTGATAACACCCGGTTAGCCCACCAACCTTATACCACCCATGGCTAACTTATACACACTTACAGTAAACCTGCCAACAGTGATTGTTTAGACACGCACACAACTTAATCTTACAGTCTACCATGTATTGATGGTTCAACAGCTTAGCTTTCTCTTCATATCAAAGCTAAAAAGTAATTTACCATGTCAAATTTCAATTCACAGAATGCATTCTGTGAATTGAAATTTGACTTAAATTTGATCATTGTGCATTTGGCTCACCTTCAATGAAAGCTGCAAAGCATATGAATCATGATTACAATCATTGACAACAACATTTCTAGAAGTGGGATTATTACTATCTGCATCAAAATATCAAGTGATTAAATTTATTCTAAAACTGGTTTAGCCTTTTTACAAATATTTAAACTCTCGCTTGCCATGGCCATGGGTAGAAAAAATATAACCAGTTAAGACTGGACGGGTAAACATTAAAAAACTGCTAAATAGTGTGAATTTAGCAACTTTATATATATATGATTAACTTCATATTTCGAGAACCGAGTTGAATAAAAAACCACTACACCACTTTTCTAAATAATTGTCCAAGTTCTAGAATTTCTAGAACTATAAGACTCAGCTCACGGTCTCACGTATAAGGACAGTCATTTCTTATCGTCGACTGGAGTCAGATTGTCAATACAATCTATAAACAATTAATTGATGACATGGCTCCTCTCCTGAAGTAGGTATTTTATTCTATATATACTGCCAGGTCTAATCAAGTCTAGGTTCAGTGAATCTTTATCGATGGGCCATTCAAAGAGCTTGCCACAAGTTAGCAGAATGGGGCTCCGATAGAATCAATAATCCAGTGGATTTTGTTAAAATATTGATCCTGAATTGTTGTTTTCTTGAAAAAAAACATGTAATCTTAAAATAACTGGCTTTTATCTAAATGAGTTTTAAACTATTTTCACAACTACAATTAAATACATTTATTTAGGCATGGCTACCGATGAGTAATCCGTTGGAGTAAAGTCTGCCGGTGTCCTGGGTGTGATGGATCTGAGTTAGATGGCAGATTGTGGAGGTGGTAATCGTTTCTTCCTATTGCCCTGGTAGTCTTGTACTGCCAGGGCTCCTGCGGTCTGGTACGAGGTTAGTTTTATTGTTAGAGATCTAGTGATGTTTGAAATTAATTTATTAACTCCTTTTAGCTACTTCTCCCTTAGATAAGTATTGCATTCTTTTTTCTGCTATACAGTTCTTTACGACAACTCTGTTCATTATAATTCAAATTTTTTCACTCTGAACTATAAATCTCTGGCCTATTAACTGTTTCAGATCCAGATTGCTAGGGTTTATAACGGTGCCACTGAAACATCCTGCTGTTGATCTCTTATCCGGATCACCCAGTCTCCTCCCGATCCTCCCACACTTCACAACAAGATGCCAACACTGCCCGCCAACTTCCTCACCTTACTGCAAAATCTATCTCTTGAAGTAAAGCAACACATGCATACCCTCCTCACTCAGAGTATCCTGGACAGTCTGAAAGAGGAAAAGCTTACTTCTAAAATAGAACGGTTAGATGAAAAGAAGAAGGAAAAGAAAACGAAGAAGGAAACTACTGTTCAAAATGTCTCGTATAGCCCACATGCGCTCGTAGAGCACGTCCCAGTCCTCCCTGGAATGGATGAAAATCTATTCAAGAAAATCACAGAAGAATTAGATTCAATGAATCTTGAAGGCAAATCTAAAAAAGTCCACACCTTATGGCTAAGCCCTTCATCAGAAGACTACTGCTTTGGTAACATAGTTAACAAGCCACATCCCATCAACAACTTCCCTAGCATCTTTAAGTTGATGGGACTTATTAATGACCTCCCCTCCACCACCAACAACATGGATGCTTGCCTTGTTACTAGGTACGACACTCAGCAAGCTAAGTTAAGCCTCCATAAGGACGATGAAGACCTAATAATATCACAGTCCAGCTCCATTTGCACTTACTCTATAGGGGCTCCACGGTCACTTGAGTTTGTGCTCGATACAACCCAAGTAGAACAACGCACAACTAGGGCCTCTAGGTAAAGGCCAGCCCAAGAGTTGATTAACGCAGACTTCACCCTCCCTGCCACCAATGGCACACTGAACATCATGAAGCCTGGTGCACAGCAAGTCATGAGGCACAGGATTGCCCCAGGAGTTGCACCTTCTGACAATGAAATTTGTTGGAGGTATAGTCTCTCCTTCAGAAAGTTAACCACACCTTCCTCTTCCTCTTCCCCTTCATCTCCTATTCTTCCCTCTCCTACATCCGACAGTCCTAATAAAGTATCCCCAAAAGCCCCCATCACAGACTCTCAAAAACAACAGAAGTCTATTATTCTCATTGCTGGTGACTCCTTTGCTGCTCGATTGGACGCTGATCGCCTCAGTAGAGGTAAAGAAACTGTCACCAACATAGCTAAGGGTGGGCTTAAGATCTCAGCTATACAGAAATCTATTGAGGCCTTTCATACAAAGAACCCTCTTGTGCAGGTAAAGAAACTGTTCTTAAGCTTCGGTGCCAACGACATCCGGTACTGTACCCAGGGTGTCAATCATCTCAAGACCCCTGTGAGTGACCTTATGAAGACAGCAAAAAAACTTTATCCAAATGCACGTGTTTTTGTACAAGCTATTCCACCAGTCCACCCCAACGGACAAGATAAAATCCCTGGTAATGTTTGTGCTATGAATAATTTGATCTTTGATCGCTGCTCTAGGCATAAACTGTTTTACCTTGATGTTTTTTGGGCTTTCTTAGACCGCTATGGAAACAGAAACGAGAGATTATTTCCTAAGTGTGACAATAGGGGCTTGCCAGTGTTGGCAAAGTTCTATCTCAGAATCATACACTCAAAGTGGTTTAATCCAATGGGATACTGATGTGGTAATCCAATTCAATATTTCAATTTTTCATTGTCTGCATCAGTATCCTATTGGATCTGATCATTTGGATGTTATTTATATGTATTCAAACGAAGTGATAGCATAATGTATGTTACTTCATATTATAGCACAATACCTAACAAAACACAACGGCGAGACACAATTCTGTTAATAATATACTTAAAAGTTCCATGGGAATATCAGCTCAACAACACCGTGTTGCAACTGGTATGTTTTCTAGGTATGTTATCATCAGTAAAAGTAATAGAGGTAACGGGGAAAATTTGTTGTCCTGTCTTCTGTCTCGTCATATGTTATGTGCTCTATTGGGTATATTTTATTTGTATGTTATTTTGTATATATTTTCTTTGACTATCGATGCTAATATACTCCCTGGTGCTCCCCTACAACCTAAAATACACTCTGTACCATGTTTGAGGTCATCCATAAATCTTTACTTTATGGTAATATTTTGTACCATTTTTCTCAGACACTTCAAACTTGTGTATAGGGGTGAGAGGGGCATTGGGGCAGCCTTAACTGCAATTTCTGTAAAATTGATATCTACCACAAAAACTGAACTGTCACCTACCATGTCACCGAAACAGACTGTTAAGTTACTTTTCGGTATTACCAGCAGCTGGCTTGGGGTCATGTCTAGGTGTGGTCTGGTTTTTCTATCTCTCCTTAATATTTCCCTGATAGTAATTTGTAATTGTTCCTTACTGAACCCTGGACCAAATTTATCCGTTGTTTACAATAATGTCCATGGTTTCCTAAATACTCGCGATCTAGCATCAGGAACACCACCACTAAATATGACCAAGATACATGAATTTCATGGTTATATCTACAAACATAAGCCTCACATCATTATTCTAAACGAGACATGGCTGAAAAATTCCATTCTCAGTAATGAGGTGCTCCCTGACAAATACAAAGTATTTAGGCTTGACCGATCCTTAAGATCGCATCCAGTGGATGCAACCCAGCCCAAGAAATTCAGAAAAAACGGTGGTGGTGTTCTGATTGCCCATAGAACAGACATTGATATCTCTAGTCTAAAGTTTTCTAAGGTTAGTGTTCAAGCTGAATTATTATCCGTCATAATTAAGACTCAGTGTGGAAGAAACTTTTGTATATCAACATTCTATAGAGTAGGAACGCTTGGCTTAGATAATTTTGAATCTTTCAAGAAACATTTTGTTACTTTAGCATCTGCCAGAAAGTTGCAAAGACACATTCTGGTAGGGGACTTTAATTTGGCTTCGATTTCTTGGCCAGATGGTCAGTCATCTTGTCAGCTACACTCTAGCTTTGTAAATTTTCTCACTGATGACCTCGGACATACACAACTTATTAGTTTCCCTACTCACAAGTCAGGCAACACCTTAGATCTTGTGTTCACTAACATTCAGAACCTTATTAAGAATGTTAAAGTTTTAGATCAAAACGAAATGTGTATGTCCGACCACTTTTGTATCACATTTGACATTGATATTAAGACCAAGTATATTAAGCAGCCTAAAAGAAAGATCTTTAATTATAGTAAAGGTAATTTTAGGGGCCTGAATTCTGAGTTATTTAGCATCGATTGGGATAATATATTTGAGTGTAATGATCCTTATCTTGCCTGGAGTCGATTCAGAGGAGTTCTTGATGCAGCCTGTGACCAATGGATCCCTAAAAAGACCATTAAGTCTCAGTTCCAGCCCCCATGGTATGACTCCGAATGTGATCGCCTCCTACGAAATAAGGAGAAATGGAGAATAAGGCATAAGGGGAGCAACTCTGAGTCTCATAAACAAAAGTTTCGTGCATTTCGCACAAAATTTAAAAATTTGATGGACGAAAGAATGAGACTCAGTGTTGAGGATGACTCCGATGATGCTCTTATCTCCAAGAAATTCTGGACCTACGTTAAATCTAAATCAAAGTCAACCAGGATCCCTGAAACTGTCAAATATCATAATCGCTTTCGAAACAATCCATCTGATCAAGCTGCCCTTTTTAACGAATATTTTTATGAGCAGTTTTCTCAAGAGAGCGATTATGGCATTGACATAGATTTTCGTGATGATTGTTTTTCAAGTCTTGTGTTTAGTAGAGAAGATGTTCTGTTGATTCTTAAAAAGTTAAATCCTAACAAGGCCCCTGGCCCTGATGGGATTCATGGGAGAGTCCTCAAAAACTGTGCCCAAAGCCTTGCATACCCACTTAGTGTTTTATTTAACCTGTCTTTCTCGAGCGGATGCATACCCCCTGATTGGAAGCTGGCACTTGTAGTACCAGTGCACAAAAAGGGCGATAAGTCTTCGGTTGAGAACTACAGGCCTATCTCGTTAACATCTCTTGTAATGAAAGTCTTTGAAAGGTGCATAAAGACTGCATTATACGCTGCGTGTTCTGATCTGTTGGATGACCGACAACACGGTTTTGTTAATGAACGCTCATGCACAACCCAAATGATACCTTTCACAGACAATCTTGCACTTGCATTGAATAACAGGTCCAGGACTGATATAATATATTTTGATTTTGCGAAAGCCTTTGATAGCGTTTCGCATGACCTCATTTTAAGTAAATTAAAGAATATTTTTAATGTCGATGGACTAATGCTTAAATTTATTAAGTCCTATCTTGAGGGGCGACAACAACAAGTAGTGATAGGAGGCCAAACGTCTTCTTCTCTACCAGTTCGGTCTGGTGTCCCTCAAGGTTCTATACTCGGCCCTTTATTGTTTGTAATATTTATAAATGACATGTTCTCCTGTGTCTCTGAAGGCACCAATATCGCCCTTTATGCAGATGACACTAAAATTTGGAGGGAGATTCTTGGTTACCCTGACCATCACATAATCCAAAATGACATCAATAGATTATATGATTGGTCAGTGAGAAATCGAATGAAGTTCCACCCACAAAAGTGCAAAGCCCTCTCTGTGTCCCTGCAAAGAAACGTGCTGGATAACTTGCCATTCAATACCTTCTTTTATAAACTTTCTGGAAGTGATATTGACTTTGTGCCCTCTCAGTCAGATTTAGGAGTCGCAATAAACTCCAGGT